CGTGGCAGCAGATGACGTCACCAAAGCGGGAGTGTCATGGTCTCGGATGTTGCGATCTGAATGGCTAAACGTAAAAGTTACGAAAAAAAAAAAGCAGACGAGCGTCGCTGTTTTGCGACGCTCGTCTGCTATATAGCCGTATATTGGGAGAGTTTGGCCAATGGGGCGGAGCAAAGGCCGTCTCCAGCGTCGAACACTACCCCGCGGTTAGAGCGTAAACTAAATGTGCGACACAGCGTTGACCAATCAGCAGACCGCGACGTCATAATATTGCAAACGACATTTAAAGTGTGAAAGAGGAGCGTTTAATCTCATCGTCTCGGTGGCAGTTTGCTGTGGGCCGACTTGCTAGAACAGCGTCTCAGCTGAGGGTGGGGCGCGCGAGCATCTTCATTGAGTCCCGCTCGGCTCGTGCGCTGGCTTTGGCAGTGCTTTTTTTCTTCCAGACTCAGCTGAGACGCTGTTTCTAGCAAGTCGGACCTGGCTTGGGGCCTTGGGGCGCACGTTCGTTTATTCTACCGCTGAATATGGACGTGACGTAAACCTCACACGCGCCAGGTTTGCAATCACCCGAGAGTTATACCGTTTTACTCGAGCGACTCCAAAACGGCTTAAATTAGTCAAATCGCACTTTTAGTGCTGATGATCACCGCTAGGGGCTGTGAGGCGTCCCGTGGTTGGCCCCGAGATGCTCGCCTATTCAAACCAATGTATGGCCAAACTCCGCGCAGCAGAACAGACGTCTGCCTCAGCTGCCACCGTGACACCACCAGAATCGCGGCAGGCGACAGCGTGAGACTTTTATAATATCATAAGGCGGAAAACGAGGAAACACTTTTTGGGGGACGCGGTAAATACACCATTCGGAGACGCGTTCCACGCACCGTACTATGCGCCGAGAAATTGAGGGAGAGGAGGAGAAGAGCTCTGATTGGAGAGATTAGTGGGTAGACATAAAGCTAGCTGCCTTTGTCTCCACCGCACTCGTCGAACGCCTTCTAATACGAGAGCCAAACGCCGGGCGCCGGCGTTCCGCCGCCTAAAGCGTTCGACGAGTGCGGTAGTGACGAAGTCAACTAGGCGGAGAGCAAGTTCGTCTGCTTCTTTTGCAGCGGTTATGGTGACGTCAGAAGGCCGAGCTCTGATTAGCTCTGATTGAAGGATCTTGGATACATCTCAAGGCGGCTTGCTTTGAGGTCTACCCACTATCCTTCAACCAGAGCCAATCAGAGCTCGGCGTTCTGACGTCACCATAACCGCTGCAAAAGAAGCAGACGAACTTGCGGTCTGCCTAGCTTTAGGCCTACCCAGTAATCTCATCAACCAGAGCTCGCCGTTTGGACGTACCCGCGCCCGCGTCTCCTCCTGCTCCCCAGATTATCGGCGCATATCTCCAGCCTTTAACCCAAACAACAACTAAGAACGTCACGTCCGGTGAATATCCCTATGTGAGTCAGAAAATAAAGGTCACGCCCACGATTGTTTGTTCTAAAGAAGCATTTTCTTTTTATCAAATGGCACAATCAAATACTATACCTAGGTATAACCTGTAATTTCGATTTTCAGCGTATTTTTCAATAAGCGCGGCTTTTTTTAGCGCTAAAGTCCGCGTTTCTAGAATATACACTCTAAGAAAAAACAAGAGTTTATAGTTGGTTACAAGCCAAGAAGGTAGGAGATGCTCCTCCCTCAAGCGTGATGCGCCCGTTTTGAATCTCTCCGCAGTCGAAAGAAGAGTTGACTGGAAACCCTCCTTGTTCCGCTTCAATAGATTCCAACTTGTCTCCGATCCCACTTTTTTAAGAAATCGACTTTTGTATCCATCGGAGGGGGTAGCTAATCCCAGAAAGTCGTATTTGTTTCCATCGGAGGGGGAAACTCTAATCCCCCTCTCGTGGCTTCCACAATGCTAAGTCAAAGTCGAAAGATAAGGCAAATATGTACACAAAGGCAAGACCCTCCTCGCGTGTTGGCCGCGACGTCACGGAAACGATGGGACGCTATTGGATGCAGAGGTGGCGAAGGGATATATGATCCCCTTTGAGGGGCATTTGCCGCTACCTTCTTAACCTGTAACCGACTGTAGTCGGGTGTATCAGGCGCACAAGCACCCTTTTCCTGGAAAACGCACCCTCCGTTGCCAAGCCAGTGTACATGTACACAGACAGTGAGCATCCTCCTCTTCCTTCAAAACGTCTAGGTGTATCAGTGCACCGCCACGCTATAGTCAGTTACAGGCTAAGAAGGTAGCGGCAAATGCCCCTCAAAGGGAATCAGATATCCCTCCGCCACCTCCGCATCCAATAGCGTCCCACCGTTTCCGTGACGTCGCGGCCAACGCGCGAGGAGGGTCTTGCCTTTCTGTACATATTTGCTTTATCTTTCGACTTTGACTTAGCATTGTGGAAGCCACGAGAGGGAGATTAGAGTTCTCCCCCACCGACGGAAACAAATACGACTTTCGGGGATTAGCTTCCCCCCCGATGGATACAAAGGCTGCTTTCAGGGGCTCGGTTCCCTCTCCGATGAATACAAAGGTCGCTTTCTCAAAAAGTGGGATCGGAGACAAGTGGGAATCCATTGAAGCGGAACAAGGAGCGTTTCCAGTGAACTCTTCTTTCGACTGCGGAGAGATTCAAAACGGGCGCATCACGCTTGTGGGAGGAGCTTCTCTTACCTTGTTGACTTGTAACCGACTATAGCCACTCGTCCCAATCAGCTTGTGATTGGATTCCCCCTTGGGGGTCCCTCTTGAGTTGGGCAGTTTCTTAGGAAGTATGGAGCAGTTCTGTGCACTCGGTATTGACAGTAGAGTAGACGCTAAGCTTGTTTTAGGCCAATCGGGTCTCCGGGTAGAATCACGTGACTACAATCTCTAAGCTAGAGATAAGGCAAAGCACGGGACCAGCAAGAAGGCCAAAACCACGGATAGCATCCCCTGCACTATTAAATTTGGGTTGAACTTTCAAGAGGATGCAAAAGACAAATCCTCTCGTTGTGCTCATTGTTGGGATAACCCTGAAGATAAGCCTTTGCGAGGGCAGCCTCTTTTGGCCTTGAAGAAGCTGCTATTTTCCTACTTTTCTTTTTCTTTCTCTCCCTAAGTTGAAAGCGTGGAAGAACGTGCGCAGTCGCCGGACCAAAGAACCGGAGGCTTTTTTATTCCATGACTCCGCTGTCTGGGCGCAGGTAACGGCAGGAGCGTGATTAGTTGGTAAAGGTTTCACGGTTGACGTAGTAGCTCTTTCCGATCCCGGAATGTCTGCTTCCCGGCCTAGTTTCTTGTGTGCTGTGCTGCGACCAGCGGGGCTGCCGTAGATTTCGTCCGCGACAACGTATTCGAGAGTACCAAGGCTACCAGTGTTTGAAAAGTCCTGCGCGTACATCGGCAACAAGCGATTTCTTCAGAAAAGTCTAAGGAATTCATCTGATGCGTTTAGTATTCGGTTTGGCAAATTACTCCTTCTGCCACATCGTGCTGAATCTTCACATACCCCTTTCTTTTCGTTTTTGTGTTTGTGTGTTTGTTCTGCGGTGCCCGTGTCGACATATATCTCAGATTACATATTTCAAGTCTGGTATATTCATCGTAAGTGCGCAGCTACTTACTCCTTTGCAGCAATTGACCGTTCTGTTCCGGATTACCTCTAAAATTAGGCACTGTCTATTTTCTAGCAGCCGGGAGAATAATCTCCTCGAAATTTTATCGGCAGTGGCCTGCCATTAGCTGTCTACAATCATATGAGAACTGTAGGCAGTATACGGACTTTCTTACTCTCCCGGCGTTTTGTGAAAACACGTTTCATGGACGCCTTTTCGTTGATGCATGTTTTGTAAACACGTTTTGTCGACGCTAACTTTTCATCGTCACTCGTTACGCGAAATGCACGCTGTAGGGACATTTCTCGCGTGTATCTCTAACGCGCGTGCTCACCGGCCCGGCCCACCCGTTCACGTCGCTTTGTGAGAACAGTCTGCGTCGGCTCCTTACAAAAATTTTACCCCACCTGTGCCACCCGTACATGTCACTTCGCTCAGATCAGCTTTCGCTAATATACGAAAGTTAATCTGAGCTGTCTATGAAACATCGCGTGTCGATGAAACGTCGTTCGATGAAGTGATTGTATCGCCAATGAGTGGCGACTGCCGGCAGAATTTCGGGTAAATAAATCTGCCGGCTGCTGGGAGAATATACACTACCTAAAAATCGCCTTGGTTCTTGTTTGCTCAGAAATCTTCTGAGTTGTACAACAGCTTCGGTGTACATCTTCACATATCACGGATTGCTTGCAAGTCTGTCCTTATTTACGGAATAGGCTGTCTAATAAACCATTAGATTTGAAAACAATCCATTTTTTCTGTTTACCTGCCTTTTTGCAACCACCTGAGCACGTAAATTTTTTCGGGTTTCCTTGAGGTGGGTGCACAAAGGAGTGAAATGGCACACCATTGAATGAGGTGTATCTATGTTCCCTATGAGCGGGGTGGATGTAAACAAAGGTGTAAAGTAAACCCTGTGCGTGGGTGTATCTTTACTCGCAAAACATTCCGTGTGTGCAGAGAAGGGAATACTTGTACACCTTAAATTGGGGCGTACCTGCACACCGAAACGACATAGAGGGTGTAAACAAGGGGTAGTGACACACCCCAATATGGGGCGTATCTGTGCACCCCCGAATGCTGAAGGTGTATAAAAGAGTGCACATATGCACCCTTAAAGGGTGTATATATGCACCTCGTCTTGGGGTGTACTTGTGCACCTTTATGGGTGTTGCATATGTGGCATCACTTACACACCCTGTGGGTGTACCCACTGCACCCATGTTTTTTTAGAGTATGATGAGTCATCTGTACATATCAATAAGTATGAAAGCCATGTAAAGATTAAGACTTCAGTATAAATGCAACATATCACCGAAACGATCCTATCATTTACGGTACTCTAAATTCTAGAATGACTGTTCTAGAGTCTTTCTTTGAATTTTTATGTTGCGTTTCAGGGAACTAGGAAAGCTAAGGAAGCGGGCCGATTTTCATACGTCTGGCTTTGCCAACACAAAAAGGTACGTACCGTTGTTTCATCGTCGTATCTTAGGGCTTTATTTGAATAAATCGAAAACCCGCTTTTCGAATGAGTGCTCGTAATTCAGCGTTAGCAAACGCTACCAATTTTTATACTGACCCTCTATCATTACGAATTAAAATCTCGGCGCGTATAAAAGGCTTTAAATACTGCACGTCTTGCGTGTCATTTATGAGCAAAATTACCCTATATTTCATTCAGTAAAATTATTTTGCGACGGTTATAGCCTTTTAAGCCAGCACTTTCGCATCCTCCTGATACGCCTTCGCGGCTAGGTGGTTAGTCAGGAAAGTCGTTTGGAACGAATGATCTGCGTTATATTTCAAGCCACCTTTTACTCGTTTACAAATAGCGATCTTGTGCGCTTTCTATAATCTATAAGCGAACAGCGCGCTTACTTTAAGCAAACGCGCTGTTCGCCAACACGACCACGTTTGCCTACGCTCGGTGTGGGACAACATGGTGGAAGCAAACGGTGCTCTCTCGTTGTTGTTGTTGTTGTTCTTGTTGTTTTTTTTATTTATTTTGAGTCGCTTTAAAATACGGCGTTATAAAGTTGAACACCAATAAAATGTGTACATCTCTGACACCAGATGTTTTCTACGTCAGACGGAAATACGTGAGCATAATCAAACAAGATTCCCGCACTGGTCTTTGGTTTGAGGACAGCCCATGTTTTCCCGCTATGCCTGAAAAAAAAAAAAAAAAACTATAAGCAAGCAGAAAGGAGCGGATGGTAGCAGTTTTGTTTGATATGTCGTCTTGTGCTCACTTCAAGAACAGAACTCTTTGACAACTGACGCCGTTCCATGGACATGGCGGTGCTGAACGGAAGCTCAAACTTGTTCCCGAAAGCGACGTTGGCGTTAATTTTTCATAGAATTATGAAGACGCCGCGAACAAAAGGACCGCCTTCACAGAGATGACGACGGCACCGCTCCACCATATCCCACCTCGTCAATCGCCTTCAGCGGCAGCTGAAACCTTCCGAACCCGACAGGCCACTGTTTACGTCACTTACCTTTCCGGAGGCCCGGAAAACAAAACCACAGAAAGCTGTACTTTTTGTTCGTCAGTCTGTTTGCGGGCACAGTAAGGAGCGTCGGGAAATTCCGTAACAAAAGTGAGCAGCGTGCTAGGTCAACACCACCTGGAATAAACGAAAGCCTCTGACCGACCTCCTCATCTTCCACAAAACGTCCTTAAACTCGAATATTCGCCGATATGAAAATAAGGCCCTAGTCGAACACGGAGAGTTCTTCGAGGCGTAGTCTGAACGCGACTTCCAGTCGGACGCTGACACCGCGCTCGTGTTCATCCAGAGTCTGAGCTCGATCTCGAAGTGATGACGTCGACATTATAGCGCATAGGCTTTGATTAGGTGACGCTGGATAGTTTCCCAAGAAGGGCAAAAACGCATTTCGTTTTTTTTTTTTCAAAAAGAAAGTTAAAGAATCTTTATTTATTGTCCCTTAAGGGTAGTTTTCACGTCCGGCCAACATGTACTATTGATTTGCCTTGGTACCATTAAGTTTTTCCTGCTACATGCTTTTTTTTTAATTATTTTTACGTTTTCTCGCACTCTCTTTCTGAGAACGCCTTCGCGCTGGTGATTGTTTCACGATTTACGAGCCCACGCTTGATCCGCTTTTCCAGGATTTTCTGCTTGTTCGATCGATACCCCAGAGAGCTTGTCCAAGCGTGGAAAGATTACACGTCCTGGAAGCGCACGGACCATCAACATGGGCCAGGTTCTGCTTTGCCTCCTTTCACATCTTCGCTTTATTTTTTTTTTGTCTCCTCAAATTAAACTGGTAGTTTAACTTTTTTTAAGCTTCTTCCTTTATTTTCACGGTTTCTGTCTTGTTGTCACGTAGCGTTCCCTTAATTAACGCCCTATTTTTACACCTCATTTACTTACTGTCTGTTCGCGAGTTTTTTGTATTGATTCAGTTACACTTTTTCTTCTTAAACTACTGGTTTGTTTGTATATTTTGCTTTTCCATCGCTTTATTGATGATTTTTAAGGCATCTGGGTGTCTTTCTTGTTCGTCGCGTGTTTGTTTGTTGGTTTACTTTGTTTACCGGGCTTCTGTAGGGAATGACGATCAATTTATTTTAATTAAAAAAAACTTGCAGCCTTTCTATTTTGGTGAAGAAGGAAGACCAGCACAGCTGTACGCTCGTCCCGTGTGTTTCTTTGTCCTCATCTGTTTTGCGCGCTGTTTCTGACTAGGAATGGCGCGAACTTTTTCGAACAGAAGTCTCGACAATCGAATCAAGCTGTTAAAGAGGTTCGAAAGACTTCGAATTTTTGAACTTTCCATATCGAGAAATTCGACAGAAGTCGAATTTTCGAACTTATTGAAGTAAGTTCGACGCTTTTCGAATTTTCAGCTTATTATGCTGCAGAATTCGATGTTTGTCGAACTTTTGAACTTGATGGACTAAAAAATTTAATAACTTTCTAACTTTCGAACTTCTTGCACTAAAAAGTTCAAAGCTTTTCGAACTTTCGAACTTTCTACGCTAAGAACTTCGATAATTTTCGAACTTTCGACCTTATTAATCTATGCGGAGGGCAAGTTCGTCTGCTTCTTGCGCAGGGGGTAGCGGTGACGTCAGAACGCCGAGCCCTGATTGGCTGATCGCGACCCCCTATCTGAGCGTCGTCTGCTCCTTTGCAATGTCGTCTGCTCGCAACGTCGTCTGCGTCTGTCTTACCTTTCCTGCGGCTTTCGGAAGTGCAGATTCACGAAACGATCTTACGCAAAAATGTGCATAAGACATAAGTTAAGAACGAATTCGTATTCACGAAACAAAATTTTCGTAAGTTTTGCGCAGGTTACGACGAAGTCCTACGACAGCTCCGAAGCTACATGTCTACGCACTTCTTACGATCAAATCAGCATGGCCGACAGCGTCGCGGTCGCTACGACCCACGGACGTTTATTTTTCCACGTGCGCTTCTCACGCGTCCGGACTTCAAGCAGCAAGAAAAAAAGTAAAAAGTACTTGAAACAGACCACGACGAACAAGAACGCTGGATCCAGAAACACCCGGGAAAAGCTCCAACGACCACGATTGCACCGAATGCGACCAAGCGAGCACGGCAGTTAGGCCTAGCAGGCACTCCGCGACTCGGCGACCGTCTGCCCACGAACGGCTGGCGTGCTGAATCGAATATGCCCGCGCGACCCTTGTGAACCCTTCCCGTATTGTACTTTGATCGCTGACCTCAATTTTAGATTAAGAGGTCAATTTCTTCCTCTTGTTATCTCCTTGTTTTTCGAGGCAACGCTGTCTCTCGCCGGTGAAAAAGCGGTGAATCTCCGACAGACGCAGGAAAGGTAAAGCAGCCATCGCTTTGACTAGCAGACGTAAAGCAGACGACGTTAACTGCGCCAACCCGCCGACGCCGTTAAAGAATGAGGGGTCTCGCCGCACACGAAAGGAGGGAAAAAGTATTTGGGAGGAAACTTGCGGACACTAACACTCGGTTGTTAGCAAACAAATCTCGGCGCCTCGGAACACCTCGCCGGTGAGTCCTTTGACTTCTCTCCGTGGTGCGCGTATGCTGCTTGTTAGACAAAAACAACGTACTGCTCGAGTTATTTCGTGTGCCCTCTCTGAAAGCCGAAGTCGAGCTCGCTCGTAAAGACCTGCACTTCCGAAGGTCGCAGGAAAGGTAAGACAGACGCAGACAACGTTGTGAGCAGACGACGTTGCAAAGGAGCAGACGACGCTCAGATAGGGGGTCGCGATCAGCCAATCAGGGCTCGGCGTTCTGACGTCACCGCTACTTCCTTTCTCATGCGCAGAAGACGAAAATGAGCCCACTTGCGAGGCGTATAGAAATTGAAAATCGTCGAACTTTCGATTCTTGAAAAGTCAAAAGTTCGACGAACTTCGAACGTTTAGGCTCAAAGTTCAAAGTTCGTCGAACTTCGAAAGAGCGGCGAGCGGATTCATTTGGATTCAAGCAGTGAGGTAAATTCGTAATTTTTTTTCTCGAAATTTTACATGCGGTGCCGCGTTCCTTGCGAAAGACAATGCCGTTTATTTCAATCATCTGGCATGCTTGGTTTTGAAGAAATAAATTCCGGAAGGAGCGAGGAAGGACGACGGGTTTTTGACAATTGTCGTTTATGCCATATTTGAAGCGCGCTATAGCCGAAGCTATTTATGGTAGAGATGTTAAACTTTTTAAGAATGATCTATGCATAGCCTAGGTAAGTGTAGTCTTAAAGGGGTACTCCGGCAATTTTTTGAGCTACCTCAACTAACTATATTTTCTGACTCCCCGGCCTTTACCCTTTCTGGTATGCTATTTAGTATCGCGAAATTCATAATAGTTATTGCGAAATCGGCATATGAAAATGATGCAAATGATGCAAATGATGCGACGCGACTGGCGCGCCGCCGCGCGGCCGGTACCGAAGGTAGGCAGCGAGAACCCCAGAGAAAACGAAACCGAAACCACGCCGCGTGCGTTGGTACGCATTGAAGTCGGAGTGGTGCGGTTGCGCTGGGTTTATAGCATGAAGTGCTGCCTGTGCTGCGTCATTAAGTGCTTCAATAGTTATGCGTCGTATCTCGTGGAGACAAAGTTTCACAGTTTTTCACCTCGCCGATGTTTCGTGGGGAAGCGACAACGATGGAGCCGTGCCGTACGACGCGAGAAATTTGGTCTCCCGATCATGTCTGCCACTGTGTCGGCAGGGCTGACATATTCTACACTGCCGCTTTGCGCTCTGCGTTTGTTTTCGTACCAGTAACGCCTACATGTGTCAGCGCCGATGGGACGAACTAAAATGCCATCCCACACTCGTGGGTATGCAGTGCCAGTTTCGTTGGAGGAATGCCCTCCAAAGAAGTTTCGTCCCCACCGTCCGTGTCGATGATATTTCCGGACAAGTATGGCACGCAATCTGTACTTCATGAAGAAAGATTCGAACGGTAAAAAAAGTGACAAATATAAATCTAAAGGAAACAACAATGAAACTCGGAATCACTGGAAAATCGACGTTTGAGTATGGAAGTTTATGTGGTGTGCTTTCTTTCTTGATCAGCCTCCTTTTGGATGTGGAAACGCTGACACCCCGAGTTCTGTAGACAACAATTTTTTTTCTCGGCTTTAGAGCCACCTATTGCAAAGTGGTTCGAACTGGAATTACCGTCCACTGGTCTCTTCCTACCTGTAAAGTGTGCACCTCCCACGATGAGTGGTATAATCTGACAGCCTTTGATGGTCAAAGCCAGTTCCCATTTAGTTACGCCGCCCAAACTAAATTTCCACCTGGTTTCGCTATGCCAACTCTTTTTGTTATAATAAGTGTTGTGCCAAGTGACGGTCATGTCAAAGTACCTGTGCGCCCAAAATCAGCACCTCGCACAACAGGTTATTACCCAACAGCAGACCGCAAAAGCCCTTGGCGGCAAAACCGTGTTTTGGCCGACAACTTTGTTTTCTCGGCTTTGGAACCACCTTTCGTAAAGTTGTTTCAATTGGAAGTACAGTCCACCCTAGTCCCTTCCTTCCTCTAAAGTCTCCACCTCCCCCGACGAGTGGTATTCTCTTGACAGCCTTTTCATGGTCAAAACCGGTTCCCATTGAGTTACGCCGCCCAAACAATTTTCACCTGGTTTCCCTATGCCACCTTTTTTTTTTGTATAATAAGTGCTTTGTCATGTTACTTTCCAGACCAAGCACCTGTGTGCCCAAATCTGCGCTTTACACAGCCCGCTATAACACAACATTTTGGGTCGAATATTGGATATCCCGTACAGCTTTATTTCTTTATTCATTAGAAACCTAACTTTCACACCTGCTGTCTTAAAGAAACTTGGCACTCTTCGTGCACAAACTTAGTGAACATCTCACTCGCCTCCAAATATCATCGTTCCAGCAGTCATAGGTGTACAGCGACGAGCGAAATAAATTTCCCACCCAGAGCAATCAAGGTGGCGGCCGTCTTGTTTTTCGGAAAATTGCTCCAACTCCTTTTTCGGCCGCAACTAGAGAAGTTTCCCTTAATAACGACTCAAACTCAATATATGAGAAGTGGAGGACAGCTAGATGCCCTTCTTAGGTCTACCCCAGCACTCATGCAACGTCACCCTCAACTTATCGGCTCAAAAAGCAAAAGTTTCGTCCGTGCGCGCTTCCGCCGCCACAGCTTGGCATGCGAAAAGGCGCCGCAGGCTGCTGAACGCGCCTCACAGTCGAACGCCAGCTCCTCCGCTAGCGGCGCTGCGCGCGTTTTTCAAAGCGCCCCCTATAGTTCCCGCACGGAGTGTATACCCGCCCTTTTCAGGGCCGTGACGTCAATGGAAGGTGAGCCAGCCAGTCGGGCGAGCAGTCTAAAAAATAGAATATGCCAATCATTTGTTCCGTGCTGGAGCGCGGGGACTGGAGCGAGCTTCCAAAGCATTCATTTGACACCATGAAACTGCTTCGAATCAGTTGGGAACAAATTGTACAGTCCAAAGAGTGAACCCCTGCACTTCCACTGACGTCACTTTTTCGTTGTGCCAGTAGAGACTTTCAGTTTGAAAAACACGGTGAGGACCAAAATTGTAAATTCAATAACTTCGTGAAAAAAAATTATTTTGACCAAATATTTGGGATACTATTTTGGCGATGTTGTTTGGCGAGTTTAGCAATATTTCAAGCTAATCGGGGAGCATGAAGGAATCGGCGGAGTACCCCTTTAAGATATGATTATTGTTCTTTAAAACGAGTTTCGAA